TTACCCATGATTTCAAGTACCACAAAAGTTGATAGCAAAATTCTACATTTAGACTTTTTGTCTCTGATTCATTAATTGAATTTAGCATGAGTTCTTCATAGGTAGTTATTCCAATGGCTATTTATAGGCTGCGTGTAATTTGAATTATGTGGTGCAAACTGAAATCACCATTTTTAATCAGGAAGAAATGAGATGTTATCACAGCAGGGCCTGGCATTCACTGCTCTCTTAATTTCACTCCAGGTGCTTTTCACTGTGTGGATTTGGCCTGTTGACAGAATTGGCCACTCTGTATCCCTAAGATAACTACCATGATTGGTAAGCCATATGGTACAATGCTGCAAGCTATAGTAAATTTTGACTCATATTTTGGCCAGCTTTATTCTCATAACTGAACAGCAGAATTGTAGCCATATAAATTATAATATACTTGCTATTTATTGGTATAACTATAGTCACATTCTTTACCTTGTAGACACTTGCTGATATAAAATCATGGTAGAGTTTAAGCGTAAAGGCACTAGCTCAGAAGAGGAAAGATATGGAGAATGACACTTTAGGCTCACTCTGCACTTACCTCGAAAGAAACAGTCTTCATTGTGAACAATGGTAATCTTTTGTTTTTTCAGGCAGGCAGCTCTGTGTACTTCACAGTGGTTTTCATAAAATTGTCCATCAGATCCACACACAGGCTTGTAGTGCCGTTTGCAAAGCTCAATGCAGGCACATTCTGCTTGCCCCGACTCTCTGCTGATTACACACTGCCTTCCCAAACCACAGTACTTATTTTCACAAGATCCAAAAGGGCCATCCTGAATCAGTAATCCTGAAGACAAAGAGCAGAAGATCATTTGGATTCATATGTCCAAATACTATGTGCATTTCAAAGTATCAGATAATACTAATGACAATAATAACAACAACAATAATTCTAAGAGAATTGTAGTATGATTATTATGCAATTGTTATTTTCATTGGATGGGGGCATGTGTTCGTTACCTAATGCTGCTCTGACAGAATATACCTCAAATAGGTGGCTTTAACAAACAGGAGTTTATTCTCTTCACAGTTTTTGAGGCTAGAGGTACAAGTCCAAAATGCCAGCTCTAGCGGCTGGGTGAAGCTCATAAACCTTGGATTTCAGCTCTGCCTCCTGCTCCTGGCCCACTAAAGCTGAAGGCTTTCTTCACTCAGACAGCTGCTGGCTGCTGAGGTTGACAAACCCAAGGCTGACATGTAAAAAGGCACAGAGTCAGTATTATCAAACCACATGGCAGGCCACTGATTCAAGCCCATTAAGAGTCCCAAAAGCAGCACACAACATGGCAGGTTGCTGAACAACAACTTGGCTACATGCAGGATTCAAGCATGCCAAAAGCTACAGACCATTACCCAAGCTTCTCTTTATATACTGGAAACAGACCACATCCATAAGGCAAGTACTTAGCTGCTCCAGTAGATATCACCATGGAGTTGATTACCAATATCACCATGGGGACCAACTACATCCAGCTGCCCAGCCACTCAAAAGCAGAGCCAGCCAAGTTG